CATGGAGACACTGAGATGGCTACTGATTACAGTGAGCATGGAGACACTGAGATGGCTACTGATTACAGTGAGCATGGAGACACTGAGATGGCTACTGATTACAGTGAGCATGGAGACACTGAGATGGCTACTGATTACAGTGAGCATGGAGACACTGAGATGGCTACTGATTACAGTGAGCATGGAGACACTGAGATGGCTACTGATTACAGTGAGCATGGAGACACTGAGATGGCTACTGATTACAGTGAGCATGGAGACACTGAGATGGCTACTGATGAGCATACAGTGAGCATGGAGACACTGAGCATGGAGACACTGAGATGGCTACTGATTACAGTGAGCATGGAGACACAGAGATGGCTACTGATTACAGTGAGCATGGAGACACTGAGATGGCTACTGATTACAGTGAGCATGGAGACACTGAGATGGCTACTGATTACAGTGAGCATGGAGACACTGAGATGGCTACTGATTACAGTGAGCATGGAGACACTGAGATGGCTACTGATTACAGTGAGCATGGAGACACTGAGATGGCTACTGATTACAGTGAGCATGGAGACACTGAGATGGCTACTGATTACAGTGAGCATGGAGACACTGAGATGGCTACTGATTACAGTGAGCATGGAGACACTGAGATGGCTACTGATTACAGTGAGCATGGAGACACTGAGATGGCTACTGATTACAGTGAGCATGGAGACACTGAGATGGCTACTGATTACAGTGAGCATGGAGACACTGAGATGACTACTGATTACAGTGAGCATGGAGACACTGAGATGGCTACTGATTACAGTGAGCATGGAGACACTGAGATGGCTACTGATTACAGTGAGCATGGAGACACTGAGATGGCTACTGATTACAGTGAGCATGGAGACACTGAGATGGCTACTGATTACAGTGAGCATGGAGACACTGAGATGGCTACTGATTACAGTGAGCATGGAGACACTGAGATGGCTACTGATTACAGTGAGCATGGAGACACTGAGATGGCTACTGATTACAGTGAGCATGGAGACACTGAGATGGCTACTGATTACAGTGAGCATGGAGACAGACTACTGATTATGGCTACTGATTACAGTGAGCATGGAGACACTGAGATGGCTACTGATTACAGTGAGCATGGAGACACTGAGATGGCTACTGATTACAGTGAGCATGGAGACACTGAGATGGCTACTGATTACAGTGAGCATGGAGACACTGAGATGGCTACTGATTACAGTGAGCATGGAGACACTGAGATGGCTACTGATTACAGTGAGCATGGAGACACTGAGATGGCTACTGATTACAGTGAGCATGGAGACACTGAGATGGCTATTACAGTGAGCATGGAGACACTGTGAGCTATGATTACAGTGACACTGAGACATGAGATGGCTACTGATTACAGTGAGCATGGAGACACTGAGATGGCTACTGATTACAGTGAGCATGGAGACACTGAGATGGCTACTGATTACAGTGAGCATGGAGACACTGAGATGGCTACTGATTACAGTGAGCATGGAGACACTGAGATGCTACTGATTACAGTGAGCATGGAGACACTGAGATGGCTACTGATTACAGTGAGCATGGAGACACTGAGATGGGACACTGAGATGGCTACTGATTACAGTGAGCATGAGAGACACTGAGATGGCTACTAATTACAGTGAGCATGGAGACACTGAGATGGCTACTGATTACAGTGAGCATGGAGACACTGAGATGGCTACTGATTACAGTGAGCATGGAGACACTGAGATGGCTACTGATTACAGTGAGCATGGAGACACTGAGATGGCTACTGATTACAGTGAGCATGGAGACACTGAGATGGCTACAGGGTACAGTGAGCATGGAGACACTGAGATGGCTACTGGGTACAGTGAGCATGGGAACACTGTGATGGCTACTGATTACAGTGAGCATGGAGACACTGAGATGGCTACTGATTACAGTGATCATGAAGTGAGATGGCTACTGGGTACAGTGAGCATTAAGTGAGATGGCTACTGGGTACAGTGAGCATGAAGTGAGATGGCTACTGGGTACAGCTAGCATGGAGAAACTGAGATGGCTACTGGGTAAAGCTGGCATGGAGACACTGAGATGGCTACTGCCTCAGAGCACGGAACACAAAATGGGTGAGAGTGATGTGCTAGGATGTCGATACAGCTAACGAGCAAAGAGTAGGGATAACATTAGTAACTTTTATCACAGGGACCAGAGCACAAGCTTTAGACCAAGAGCTCAACATGTGCCCATTGTCTCATTCACTACCAGGCAACTGACTCTGCATTTGTTGTGAATAAATCACTTATGGACATGTGTGCAGTGCCCCATAACCCAGCCAGCATTGGCAACCACTTGAATCAGATATCATGTAGCAGAAGTATGTTTATGTTCACGTAGACTATATGCCTCAGATATAAGTAAGTAAAGGGCTCTTTTTTGTGTACTAGTGGCATATGGTGCTAGGCTCGTATTTTCATTGACCAGTGGGTGATGTGGTCAGTGTCTTAACTGCCCAGCACATTGTATGCTAGGTTGACCTGGGAGCCTAGGTCAGTTTTGAACAAAATGTGCCATGGTGTGGATTTGAACCCAAGCTCTTTGGCCAGCAGTCAAGTATCTAGGCACTATGCTGCAGTCAGTGACTTCCATATGACTAGAGGTTAGTTTATATGTGATTTAAAATTATATCTTGCAAGGAAACAGTAATCTATAAAAATCTATGAATGTACATAATTAATTCTAATTATTTATTCTGTTTGGAATCAGAGTGCGGCTTAGAGGTTAGCTGATACATTAATTAATTTCTAAATAGTAGAAGTACCAGATGAATAAATTATGGAATTGTACAGATAGAATTACAAAGGTCAGATTTTTAAGAGCATGCATCTTTCCCATTGCAACATACGTCTGTGAGACCTGGACACTTACTAAACAAGCGGAACAGCGCATAAATGCATTTGAATATAAATGTTACAGACAGGTTCTAAGAATATCTTGGGTAAAGAGAAGAACAAATGCATCCATACTTCAAGAGCTGAATATTGAAGAGGGTTGGCTAGTAAAGACAATAAAACAAAGAAAATTGAAATATTTTGGTCACTTGAAACGTCATGGAAGTCTAGAGAGAACAATAATGGAGGGGTATATGCCTGGGAAGATAGGAAGAGGAAGGCCAAGGAGAAGATGGGTGCAGGATTAGGCAGATGATCTCCAGATGGGTGTATCAGACGCAGGACATCTTGCTCAGGATAGGAAGGTTTTCCGGAGGGTTGTTATGGCAGCGAGGTTCCGCGAGGGACATGCTACTGAATGAATGAATGAATGAGAAGTACCAGAGTTCAACTTCCATAGCCGATGATTTAAAAAAAAAACATGCTTCAAGACATTTTTTTGAGAGTTGTGCAGTCGAAGATTGATGCCTTGCCCCTTAATATTGCCAAAGACAACAGTGGGTGTGCTGCTGCCAACCTTTATTGTGAAGATGGCCAACAGTTGTTCAATTGAATCAAAGAATTAAATTATGTTTGCAATCAAAATATTTTATTTATATTTGGATCTCTGTTTTTCAAAGATTTATTTTTGCATTAAAGCTTCAGCTTGCTTGAGATTTGTTTTGTTAGTTTTGTGTGTGTGTGTGTGTATATCTCTCGGTGCTGTTTCACATGTTATTTGTTTTGCTTTTGGGTTGTCAATCTCTTAGCAACAAGTCTAATTCCTCGTTTAATCCTATAAGCTGAGGCGGAGAGTCCTGTTTGTGCGTCCATTTGGCTTTGTGACAGGGCCTGTGATTTGCATGTACATCCATTTACTGGCTTATTTGTGTGCAGTTGGTTGTTCCATTACTGCTCGGGCAGATGTACTCCAACTTTGAAAGAAGCTCCCAGTTAGTTGACTTCTACGATACGCTTGCTGGTAAGGCAGTGGGTCTATTCTTGTTTTCTCTACTGTGGGAACCTATACGGGAAAATCACTGTACAGTCGTTGTCTTAATCACAACAGAGGTGTAAACAAAGCTATGTTTGAAACAATACCCCTTACAGTGCTGCCTGATGCGGACGTGACACTGGATCACGGCACGGCCCTGCTGCAGTCCCGACATGGGACAATTTGTATATTTAAAAAAAAATATTACAGCCACACCCTGACTGGACTTAAATGGGACTCCGTAATCGTCTCGGGACCTAATATAACTTGACAGTTGAGCGGAGTTTCTGAGACTTGACCTGAGGGATTCTCATCCGAGTAATGACGCACTGCACTTTGCGTCACTGAGTCTTAATCGCTTTTTGTGCGGTTTAGCGTCACTCACTTGCTGTAGTATGATGTGCTGGGTCGAGCTGTGCAGATATTGTAGCCTTGCTGTAAACCACTAAACAAAATGCCAACCGCCTTTAAAGTGCGAGCGAAGACAAAGTAGAAGAAAAGCAAACACAAATCACACATTCACAGAAATTTCCTAACATTTCATTTGGGAGATAATGATTTTTTATTTCAGGAGTTAGCAGTTTCAGTCACTCTAGTTTGCGGTTTGCAAACACAAACATGAACTAATCAGTATTATAAACAGCGTGTTTATATTTTAGAAAACAGAGCACTGTACTCGCACTAGAGTGTATAAAAACTGTGCTTGTGCTCGCCACAAAGTGCCTGTACATTAGTGCGGGAAAATTATGATTAGAGAAGTGCAAGTACTGTGCACCGTTAGGAAATAAAACGCCCATTTTGTTTGAGCTTCTCGAAGTTAGTAAACTCGTTGCTATTACCGAAGTTCAGTCTCCACAATTTACTGTTTGCAAACACTAACATAAATTAAAACTAGAATAATTCGTTCATTTTCCCCAGTAACACAGGTTCCTCTGAGTTCAGTAAACCCGTTAGTGGCGTTAGTTTTTACCCTCAGCTCCTAAAGAGGCGGTCATGGTTTTACCGAAGCTCAGTATCCTCAATTTACGGTTTGCAAACGCAGAAGTCAATTAATAAACATCATCGTCATCATATTCTTCTTTTCCTCCGTTGACCTCAGCGTCTTTTAGATGTGTGAATTCATCGATGTCCGCGATATTCAGTCCGCTCTTTTCAAGCGCTGGTGGACGAAGTTCATAGTAGCAGGCGCACCCAGTGTCGACATAAACCCAGCGTCGGGAAAGTCTGGAACACCACCTAGTGAGGCAAACTGTGGCAGGTTGCAGCGCTAGGATTTTCTTGCATTCCGTGTTATATCTGTGGACAGTACATACAACATGGGAATTAATTCTGCGTAGAGTAAATGATTCCATATGATAAATATGCTGAACGTTAGGTAGATTAGTGAGTACGTTGACATTACCTGGTAAATAGATTTATTGATTGGTTGGTTGATAGGCCTGTCATCTGTTAACGCCGATTGTTGGGCGGTGTATACCAAACCTGAGGTCCCATATTGTGCCAGCGGCCTAAAAATACACTGGAGAGGATACTACCCTTATCTTAGGAATAGGAAATGCAACCTAAAAACTTTGTTATGGCAGGGCAGACCGGGCCGTTAGCCTTGGCTAACAGCTGGTCTAGGACGGAAGCTCTGATAGGCGGACAGATAGAGCACTGCTCTACTAATCCGGCAGCTTCTACAGCCTACTTTGTTCAAAACGTACTGGTGTTACCCTTCCTTTGGAGTGAACAAGGCAGGTCGAGTGAGGGATCATGATGCATGGGCAACATGTGGTCTCTACAATACTGCCCAGACATCTAGCTATGGGCACACCAGGAAGGGAACGAGAATAAAGGAAGAAATGACTGCAGAAAGGATTGAGAGCTGGACGTCTGAGAAGAAACAGACTAAACGCAAATGTCGACAACAACGGTCCTGATATTCTGTGCTATAATTGTGGAAGTTAATTCTTGATGCGGGCGGGTCTTGCTAGTTACACTCGCCATCGCCATGGTCTGTGAGTCCCATTCCTCCTCATAGCGCAGTTTAACACTATCATCTGGAAAGAGGGAAGGATGCCAATCAATCAGTCGGCTGGTAGACTGGTATGCTGGTTGCTAGACTGTATGTTAGTGAAAGTGCTAAATACAACATAAAATGCGACTAGAAAGCTCCAAGGAGGGAACGGCAAAGATGCGCACAAATAAAACCGTACGTTTCGACCAATGTCTTTATCAACGGTGCTAAACATAACACAGACTGTGACTGACAACCTTGGAGGTTAAGACATCAGAAATTCTTGCTTGGATATTCGCGATTTCATGTTGACATTTGCTTTTTTGGAAGTTGTGTTGTCGTGTGCTGTATTCGGTACTCCGCTGATAAAGACTGGTCGAAACGTTTGTTGTACTTGTGCGCGTCTTTTCCATTTCTCCCGTTGAACTTTCTAGACTCATTTTATGTTATATTCAGCATTTCTCATCGTCTGTTCCACTGCAGATAACGCAGCTTTGCTGTAAATCACAACACAATATGTCAGCAACCTTTTAAGTGCAAATGAAGACAAAGTAGAAGAAAAACAAACAAAAATCGCACATTCACAGGAATTTCCAAACAATTCATTTGGTAGATAACGATATTTTATTTCAGGAGTTGACAATTTCAGTCACTCTAGTTTGCGGTTTGCAAACACAAACATGAACTAATCAGTATTATAAACAGCGCGTTTATATTTTAGAAAACAAAGTGCCTGTACTCCCAGTAGAGTGTCTAAAAACTATGTGCTCGCCACAAAATGCCTGTACATTAGTGCGGAAAAATTATGATTAGAGAGGTGCCAGTACTGCGCACCTTCAGAAAATAAAACGCCCAATTTACTTGAGCTTCTCGAAGTTAGTAAACTCGTTGCGATTACCGAAGTTCAGTATCCGCAATTTACTGTTTGCAAACACTGACATAAATTAATATAATAATTCGTTCTTTTTTCCCACTAATGCTGGCTCCTCTGCGTTCAGTAAACCCGTTAGTTTTTACCCTCAGGCTCCTATAGAGGCTGTCATGGTTTTACCGAAGCTCAGTATCCTCAATTTACGGTTTGCAAACGCAGAAGGCAATTAATAAACGTCATCTTCATTATATTCTTCTTTTTCTCCGTTGACCTCAGCGTCTTTTAGGTGTGTGAATTCATCGATGTCAGCGATATTCAGTCCGCTCTTTTCAAGCGCTGGTGGACGAGGTTCATAGTAGCAGGCGCACCCAGTGTCGACATAAACCCAGCGTCGGGAAAGTCTGGAACACCACCTAGTGAGGCAAACTGTGGCAGGTTGCAGCGTTAGGATTTTCTTGCATTCCGTGTTATATCTGCGGACAGTACATACAACATGGGAATTGATTTTGCGTAGAGCAAATGATCCCACATGATAGTTTTATGTGTCGATTGTTAGGTAGATTAGTGTGTAGGTTGACTTTAGGAGGTAATTCGACTGGCTGGTAGATCTGTTGCTTAGTAAATAGATTTATTGATTGATAGCCCTGACATTTTTTAACCCCCAATGTTGGGCGGCGTATACCAAACCTGACATCCTATATTGTGCCAACGGTTTCGGGCGGAGGAGCGCATTGGGGAAAGATACTAGCCTTATCCTAGAAGAGGAAATGCAACCTCAAATCTGTTTGTTATAGCAGGGCAGACCAGGCCCTTAGCCATGGCTGGCATCTGGTCTAGGAGCGAAGCTCTGATAAGCGGACAGAGCATTGCTTTTCTAATCTGACAGCTTCTGCAACCTGCTTTATTCCAAACGTACTGGTGTTACCTATCCTTTGGACTAAACAAGGCAAGTCGAGAGAGGGATCATGATGCATGGGCAACATGAGGTCTCTACAGTACTGCCCCGACTTTGTGATATGGGCACAGTACCAGGAAGGGAATGAAAAAAAAAAAGAAAGAAATGATTGCAGAAAGGATGAGAGCTGCGCGTCCGAGTAGAAACAGACTAACACACAAATATTGACAACAACGGTCCTGATTATGTCAACGGTGTCCTTATATGCTATAATTGTGGAAGACTTTTCTTAATGCAGGTGTGTCTGGCTAGTTACACTCACCATCGCCGTGGGCTGTGAGCCCTATGCCTCCTCACAGCGCAGTAAAACACTGTCGTCTGGAAAGAGGGAAAGGTGCCAATCAATCAGTCGTCTGGTAGATTGGTTTGCTGGTTGTTAGACTGGTTTAAAGGTTAGTAAGATTGATAAATACAACATAAAATGCAACTAGAAAGCTCCACGGAGGACATGGGACGGAGGAGTACAAATAAAACCGTACGTTTCGACCAAAGTCTTTATCAACGAAGTGCTAAACACAACACAGACTGTGACTGACAAACTCAGTGGAGAAGACATCAGGGCTTCTAGCTTGGATATCCTCGGTTTCATGTTAAAATTTGCTTTTTGGAAGGTGTTGTCGTGTGCTGTATTCGTTACTCCGCTGATAAAGACTGGTCGAAGCGTTCGTTTTACTTGTGCGCGTCTTTTTTATTTCTCCCGTTGAACTTTCTAGATGCATTTTATGTTATATTCAGCATTTCTTGTCGTCTCTTCCACTGTACTCGCTCTCTTCCCGTCATCACTTTGATTGGTTGATTTGTAGGTTGGTTGATTGATTCGTAAATGGATTTAATATAAATTATGTGTTATGATTTAAACTTGAGTTCGTTGCCAAACATGCCACAGCAATTCTCATCGCCGAACATTTGGATCTCAAAGCGTGAGCTGGATGGTCCGGTTACATGGTATTTACGTACACTGGAGCTTAGCTGTCAACACAACCAGATCACATAATAACAAATGACGACTGGACCTGCTTAAAACTCCACATAAACTTTCACACACATATCCATTACATGACTAACCCGTTCATATTACAGGAAGACAACTATAAGACCACTATGGTCACACGTGAAAATTTTCACATTTCGGAACTATTCAAATTCAAAAACTGTTTTCAGTACTTTTTGGCAAAATTAAAATACTCAAAATTTTTAATAAATGGTGGTCGAAAGGACGTTGTGTATGGAAGCTCGCTCTCCTTCGAGATACGCCTAGCCAGATCAAAGGTAGACAGAACAAACAGGAAACACCAAGAAAGAAGAAGGAAAACATGCACCAGTGACAACAGGACGAGCGGTTTGATTCGGAGAGAAGCATCAAGCCCAGAAATGGCACAAACACTAGTATTCAGTCACGAAAGTGACGCAAATAACCCAGACCACAAATATAGGCGGAGACTGCTAGCAGCCTAGGCTAGCTAGCAGCAGTCTGAACGTGGTCGAGCTTTTCTTTTTTTCTCAAAAGGACTTGGACTTGGACTTGGGTTATCTTCAAGGCACTCAGGACACGTCCACGGGTGCTCAGATTACCCTTCAGTATATAAATATATATATCAGCGTCCTGTGGAAGTGCTGCTCTCAAAATCCTCCGAACTCCTACCTCTCTTTTGTCGTTAAGAATGTCGGCATGATCCATGGGCCGGCCCTGTGTAATTAAGACAGAGCCGGCTAACCTGTCGGCTCTCTCATTGCCAAAACACCCTCAAACCCTGGTATAAAGATGATGGCGGACTTGGTGAAATATAGATTAGTATGTGATACTGCTTTATGGCCAGGCTATATTGCGGCCCCTGGCAAAAGCCAGAGTAGGCTTCAAATAACGCAAAATTTCATCCTAAAAAGGACGAGAAGTATAATACTCTAATAACAACGACGGGAGCCGCAATATAGCCTAACCTTAAATATGGTCTAATGGCTGAAAGCAGTTTCTGGGACTTCTCCACGGGTGATCCTCATCCACATGGTGGCACTTTGCGGGGGGGGGGGGGGAGGGTAAAAAATGAAGATAAATAGTCTCTCTCTCTCTCTCTCTCTCTCTCTCTCTCTCTCTCTCTCTCTCTCTCTCTCGTGCAAGGGGCGACAGGGGTTACGACATTCAAATACATCATAGTTTACAAACCTCTGTGTGTCCGTCCCAATGCAACAGCTAGGACATGATGGAGGGCCACTGTTGTTGGAACATTTCGCCATATAGAAAAACTGGCCTCCGCCCCTCTGGTCAATTTTTACAAAGTTATGATAGGAATCATAGAGGTCAAAAGGCCGTTCTTTGACATACGTGTGTGGACAGGAGGTTGAATATCCGGCGTCGTCACGCCGCTCCATGACGCCATCGAGTGAAGGTGTCTGTAACAGAAATTCAGATCTTTGACAATAGTGATAAATCACGCTTCATACTCTCTCTCTCTCTCTCTCTCTCTCTCTCTCTCTCTCTCTCTCTCTCTCTCCTGTCTAGTTTGCTCCCTAGCTCTCTCACCATCGATCCCAAAGAGATGTTGCTCTAATTCATGTCCTATATAGTTAGTTACAGCTTGACTCAGACAGATATAACTCTGACGCATTTATTTTTTTAAATTATATATATATATATATATATATATATATATATATATATATATATATATGGCAGAACACCAAAGATTGATGTTCAGCAGCTTGACTTGCACATGTGAAGAAAGCTGGTCAAAAAGGAAGCCACATGTCTATGAATGGCTAAGGCACCCGGAATGGATCTCATTTTGGCTTGAGGACTGAACCTGCTGTCGCTCAGGAGACCCACCCAGCTGTTGTGGCTCCGCACATTAGGCTAAACAGCGTGGGAATGCGTATGGGATGACGGGTTACCTGGCTGATTTCATGGCGATAGAATGTTTCCATATTTTCCACAGCGAGCCACACTTAAACGTTACAACGGGTATAGAGCGAATGGAAGACCTCGAAAAATATGGAGTGATGGCATTAAGAACAGCCTTACAGAAATTAACATCAATCTTAATAGTGCTCTTGACAGAGCTCATCATCAAACATTACATCTCCACCCGACACTTCGATGAGGTACAAGGTGGAAGAGAAGAAGAAGAAGGTATGTTTCCATAGTTAAATCTGAATTGTCTCTACTTTGTAGGTAGATATATCAGCGTGTTTCCTCGCTCAGGAAAAGTTTTATTGCAGGTCGTTATAAGCGATTTACTGGTCTTGTGACATACTGAAGCTTAACGTAAATGTTAATATGTTTCTGTTTTTGCCATTGTTGAGGTAATTTTTTTCTGAGCGTATGTGTTCGTTATCATATTTTCTTGTTAGATGGAGATGAATAGCACTTTAGATTCTGGTCGAGCACGTTGGTTGTTGTTAATGTATTATATGTGAAGTATACGTTAATTTTGTGTTCAGTAAAATAAATAGCTGTTTAATGTGATGGTTACAGTTCCACTTATTTGGTTAGATTTCGAACTGGCATTTAATGGTGTCTAGTTTTACTGTTACTGCTTTCTAGACTGTATACAAAAGATCTCAGTTCAGGGCTAGAATATTTATGTCTGTTTTCTTGGTACTTAGGTATTTCGCCTCTAGTATATATATATATATATATATATATATATATATATATATATATATATATATATATATATATATATATATATATATATATATATATACTCGCACACACTTCCAGGACGACCCAGCCTTGAGTGTGTATTAAGTATAGACATGGGAAGTAAAGATGGCCGGCGTGATATTGAACACATCACCCACCGAATGCCAACTGTATAAAATATAGGTCTAGCCCTATATGCATAATACACCTTAAGAAGCAGGAAAAGGTCACAGTAACGGGATTTCACTGCGGGCCTGGGACAAAAATAAAAATAAAATACTTTAAAAGTACATACATTTTGTTACTGATTTTACAAAACAATCATTATAAACTTCAATATAAGAGCTGTATTGTACAGAAATGTATTTTAATAGGCCTACTACAAAACTGCGTTACGTCAAAATAATCTATCATCTTCTTCAGTGTCTTTAATGCTTGAGCTTTCTGCTAGGTGATTTATCCATATCTCACACAGGGGAGCTACTGCGTCCGCCTCGAGTGCTAGAGGTCCCGAGTTCAGGCCCCGGTGAAGGCTGAGATTGTCCCAGTTCACGGGGACTTTTAGTAATTTCCCTTTGTCTCTGGTTAATGAGATCGGACGCCCCGTGTGTATTGTTCCGCACGTGAAAAAATCCTTAGGCGGTTGGAAATCGAAAAGAGTTGCCCAAAGGCGTTGCACAGGCAAAATTTGGAGTTGAAAATCTACATAAAAAGTATTTCAGGATTCTCGCCGGTGCAACAGAGTTCGTGCACTGCGCTGGGATTGTTTGGACTCAGACTTCAGTTAGAAGAAGAATGGAGCACACATGGGTTACTACCCGTGTGCCATGATGTTGATCCGTTATTCAAAATTCAAACTTAAACTTTATTTCAAACCACTCGATGCACTTTCTTCTTCTTCTTCTTTGATCCATCTGTAAAAAAACCGCTAGTAGCCAATATGAAAGCTATATCTTCTCGCGTACCAAACAGCGTTGTCTTAATTGGGGTTGGAACAGGCCAGATTGCGTCTTTTATGTAACATTGTTTCTGCTTCTGAATGGCCGTTTCAAGTTTTTATTCAAGAACCGATTCTTCATCCTCATCAATATTTTCTTCTCCAATTGTAATGTAACTATACACAAGCTACTCTCCTTCTACATAGAAATATAATAATATTAATCATAATACGGGCTGCAGATTTCGGATCATGTCAGTGCTCTTGTCTTGTGTATCGAGTTATTTTTTCTTTGCCTTCCGAGTGCTTTTTTTCAATCAATCTTGGTAGTTGTTATCAAGTGTTCGAGTCTATTCCTTCCCTGGAAGTATTCATTCATCTTCTATATTCTCACATCTGTGTGTTTTTCCCCCTCTCCAATGCCCCTAACTGCATTTGAGACAGCCACTACCTCCTAGACCATTCCAGCGCTCGTCCCCCCAATATTTGAGAGAGGCAGCCATAGCCTCTTAACCGTTCAAGGGCAGTAGCGTTATTTTGAGAAAGAATGTTCCAGATTGTTCATTAAGAAAAACAAAATATTTTATGTGCGTGTAATACATAAAGAGACGAACTTGAAAAGGTGGTATAAGTGCACAGTTGGGAAGCAGTAAAAAACAACAAAAACATCAACAGATTGTGGAGACTTCGTTAAGCCGATCTGTTATGCTGAGACCGGACTTGACAGTGATGGCGACGACTGACGTACAGAGACTGTCGATACTTCAGACTTACACCGTTGCTTGGCGAGCAGACTGAAAACAGACAATGGTAACACAAGTTTAAAATTTTCGACGCTCTTAGTTTATGATTGGTATAATGAACGATCAATAATTTCTAGGATAGACTGCAGGATGTGGTCAACAATGGGTAATTATCGGGTCAAGTTTTGATAGTGGTCAAAAATTAATCTTTTCTTGTGTGTGTTCCGGGGCCTCATTGTCGGAAAAACAAGAAATAGCCCCCCTCCTCTTCAACAAGCCTGTCGCAACAGTCGACTAATTCAGGGCTTCCTTCTAAGTCGGAGTGCATCTGCCTGAGTTGCAGGGAACCACAAGTCTGCATACAAAGAAGCCAGATCCGTAAATGATTTGAACGCAACACTCAGGTTCTAAGACAAGACTAAAGTCCGGAGGTGGATGAACACCCACAATTTTCTCCCGAAGTTTACAGCCGATGAATGCAAAGCAGAAGAAAAATCTTGTATCAGATAAATTTCTCAGGGTTTGGGCAACGATTGCTTATTATCCCATCAGGCTTTTCGATCACTTGGTGTGTCATTCATTTCCCCAGTAACCTTCAGAGTGGAACAAGCCACTTTAGTGTAGTGTATAGACATTCGCCCACTAGCCCTAAAGTCTAGAGTTCAAACCAGCAATAATGTGGGGGTTTTCTTCAAAACTGACCTTGGCTCCCAAGTCCACTCAGCTTAAATGGTATCAGGTAATGTTCTATGAAATCAACATCAATCAGGCGCCGTCTTCACAGTTACGGTTGGCTGCAATAGATCTCCAACACGCTATGTCTCTTATCCTGGTTGTACACTCTCATACTGCTGCCCGTCCATCTCTTGATGTTGTCCTCCCAGTTGTGTCGTTGCCTACCTTTTGCTCTCTTGCCTTCGACCTTTCCCTCCAGTATGGCTTTTAAAAGTGTATTGTGTCTTTTAATTTGGCTAAAGTATTTCAATTATCTTGTTTTTTTCTGTAGTTCTCTTTTAATTTGTAGCCCTTCCAGGACATATATATTGGATTGTTTTTGTTTCCGTGAAATACGACTTATTCTTCTGTAACCCACATCTGCAGAGACAGTTTGATTTTCTAGTTGCTGGTTCATTGTCCAGGTATCTGCACCATATAGCAAGGCTGAGTAAACATAACATTGGACAATTCTCATTGTTAATGTTTTTTTTTTTTTTTAATCTCTCTCGCTCTCAGTAACTTGCGCATCTTATTGAATGACAGTTTTAGCCATTTCTATTCTCTTTTTGATTTCTGTTTTGCTTCTTCCATCATCTGTTACTACGTGTGCTAGATAGGACAAACTTGTTACTTGTTCTAATAGCTCTCCGTTTACTGTAATGTTCACTGTTGGTCGCTCTTTTCCATTGTTAATTGCCATAGTCTTTGTTTTTTGAAAATTATTTTATGAGATAAATACAGCTGACATGATGCTAACCTTATTACCTGTCAAGTGCTGATTGGTCTATAAAACATATTGGTGGGGTGGGGGGGGGGGGGGGATCCTCTTAGTTTAGACAAATTTGGAACTAGCACAATAATTCCATGTCGCAAATGATGTCCTTTTCACTTACATTTACCTAGGCTAAACCTCACAGATGCTCAGGAAAGGGCGGAGTGGGAGAAAGGGGGATGGGGTGTGCGATGTGCTAGCGGGCGGGTAAAAGAATAATCTCACTCTCAGAAACAGAAAACAGAGCACTGCATTTAGATACTCTCTTATCTTCCGAAATGAGGACACTTCCATATTTTTATTTTCCAAAATGAGAACACTTCCGCATTTCTATTTTCCGAAAGGGGGACACTTCCATATTTTGTTGTCCTGAAATGAGGACATTTCCATAATTTGATCTTCATAAATGAGGATATCTCAATATTTTGCTCTTTTGAAATGAGGACACTTCCATGTTTTGATCTTCCGAAATAAGGACACTTCCATGTTTTGATCTTCCGAAATGAGGACACTTCCATATTTTGATCTTCCGAAATGAGGACACTTCCATATTTTGATCTTCCGAAATGAGGACACTTCCATATTTTGATCTTCCGAAATGAGGACACTTCCATATTTTGATCTTCCGAAATGAGGACACTTACATATTTTGATCTTTTGAAATGAGAACGTAAAACAGTCAATGCGCAGTTGGAACAATTACAGGAATTTCAGAAAAGCTCTACATAAGATCTGGAGTGAGACAGGGGTGCGTTCTATCACCACTACTGGTTATCACATACGTCGACTAAATTTGAATATTTGCTAACTGTAGCCAAGGGGACGGCATCGGAGAATTACTAAATGAATTGCTTTTCGCAGATGACCAGGCAATCGTTAACACCAACAGCAGTACATCTAAAAAAACATATTTAAAAACTCCACTCAGAATGCGACAACTACGATATGAAGATCAACGTAGACAAAACAGAAGTGATGACATTGTCCAGAAAAGGTAGAATCACCAATATCGAAATTGATGAAAACCAATTAAAGCAGGCAAAGGATTTTACATATCTGGAAAGCATTTTTTTCAAAAGGCAAAATCATAATTAAAGAAATCTAACAAAGATGCAATAGAGCTAATCAAGTTTTTGGCCAAATGGCACAGATTTTGAAATACAAGCATGTGAATATGAACACTTAGAGAACACTGTTTAACACAATATTCCTACCAACGCTCTGCTATCAATGTCAAACATGGACACTGTCTTAAGAATACAGACGGAAAATAGTCTCGACAGAAATGAAATGTCGACGTACTATGCTAGGTGTAGTAACAAGGCAAGATCGACTTAGGAACGATGATATCAGGAGGAGAATCGGCACAGAACCAATACTGAACTTTATAGGTAGACAACAAATCAAAAGGTTTGGCCATGTAACAAGATTGGCAGCAGACAGGGCACCACAGAGGGCATTGTTATACAGATACAGTGGTAACAGACAATGAGATCGACCCCGCAGAAGATGGACCGAAGAAATATCAGAGACACTGAAAAGTACTATATACGAAGCGAACAGAAGGGTCCGTTCTAGAGTTCTCTTCCTCCCCTGACGCCGCGAGGCATTCCAGGAGTAGAGAAAAGAAGAAGAAGAAGAATAATACATGCATACTCGTCTTATTGTGTCTTCTGCTTGAATCATCCATGATTTTCCTGTTTTCAGACTCTGACGCTTAGCTGCAGCGAAATGCTCTTAATCTGCAGTACTCTGATGTATGACTAAGCCAGCCTATCTGCAATAGATGGCAATGCAAGGATGTATCGCATGTACACAATCGGGGTGTCTCTTGTACATCCCAGGATCACCCGCATAGCTTCATTCTGTGTGATCAGAACCCTACTAAAATCTGACCTTTGCTGTAACATTCTGGCCCACCCCTCTCCTCGCCCAGTATTATCAGGTTTGCACACATGTCTAATTGTGTCTTCAGCTTACGCCATCCAAGATCTTTCTATTTTCAGTCTGTGACCCTTAGCTCTGTCTAGGACTTCGTGCAGGAGGTGTTATCTGATGCTACTCTGAGATATGACTTAGCTTGCAGCACTTTGAGCCTATCAGTGCAAGTATATATCGCATACATACTGCCGGGGTATCTCTTATACATTCAATAATTACCCTCAGGGCCTAATCCTGTATGCGTTCACGTTCATCAGCTGACTTTTTGATATGGTAAGCGTTCCAAGTCCATAACCTATCACTGCTGAAACATAGTCAACAACATTTTTTGTTCCATGTCCATTGCTGCCATAAATTTCAGTGCAGCGAGTCCTTTTTTGCATTTCACCGAAACCGCCTCAGCACGATCCCTGGGAACAGGCTTCTATTGAAAGTGGTACCCAGGTACCTCAGTTTGCTTTCTCTTTTGATGTTTTCATCATTAGTTGTACGACTTAGAACATCAGCTCTTACAATTCTTTTGTCCAGAGTGCACCACAAAACAGCAACCTTTTCTGGTTTGGTGACAGCGCCTATTTCTGCACACCAGCTATGGATGAGGCGGTTTTCTAAAGCGAGGCGCATAGTATGATCACCAGAGCAAGATTTTTATGCTGTGACAGAAATATCATCTTTACCTCTGTGGTCAGAGCTATTAAAATGGAGAGGGATTGGTTTAAGTGTCTTGTTTGTCAATATCGGAGAGGTGTTTCCGGAAATGATCAGCTAGCTTCCTGCCAGTTTCCCCAATGTATGCCTTGCTGCATCGTTTGCAGATAATTGCATAAATTACGTTGCGGGATTCGCAAGTAAAAGGTTCCCTAATTTGGAAAGCACCATTAGGAAAACTGACCGAAGAAGTCTGGACAACGAAAAGACATGTCTTGCACGTGCTGCTGTGAGCATTCAGTAGTCCCAAAAGGAAGTGCTGTGTGGATCGGTGGAAGTCGGCTTCGGACAAGTATGTCTTTAAGGTTGCGGTCTCGTCTATAAACTAATCTAGGTTTCTCACTAAAGATAATCTTGGTGTCCGGATCAGAGCGGAGGATGTCCAAATGACGAAAGAAAACTTTGGAAGCAACCACATTGTTAGGGTGAAGAGTTAAAATCAGTTTGGCTACATCACTGGTGGAATTACGTTTGGTAGGGAAAACATCTCTCCTGGTGATTGCTAACACTTTGTTTAGCGCCCCTTGTAAAATGTGTGTCCGGATAGAAACGGGCACGGAAGAAATCAAGAAGTTCAACTGATTTATCAAAAAAGTCAGAATCACATTGAACAGCACTGGTGAAATTGAAGAACCCTGGAGTAATCCCGAGGCGATATAGCATGCGTCCATGTACTCAGACGGAGAGTGTGAATGCAGAACAACTGCTACCCAGTTCACCAGCCAGGGATACACCCCCTTCTCCTTGAGCGCAGATATCAAAATATCATACCTGACTCTATTATGGGCGTCTTCAACATCAAATGTCGCTACCGGCGTCTCCTGTCTATTCTGGAACCGCTCATGAACATAAAGGCAAACGTGGCTGCATTTTATCAGGTATCTTTTCCTGTACGGCAACTGTCCAAATCTCT